GGGTACTTTTCCAGGGAGGCCGGCCCCTGACATTTTGTATTAAACCTTTACTTCAGTTCATAAATGAGAACCACTCAGAAACCGAGCGATTAAACCAGACCTACATTTAAAATTTAGGTTTTATTTGCAGAACGAGTGGATGGAAGTAGTGAGAAAAGTCCGGGAGGTGTTCTTTTTGTCTGCACTGAGCCAGACGAGGCCTCCTGAGAAGCCTCCCCGCGAAGAGAGGCCATCCGAAGTGAGGCCCCACGTAGAAGGGCAACCCGAGGAAAGGCCCCCTGGAGAGAGTCCCCCCGAAAATGGGCCACCCGGAGAGAGGCCCCCCGAAGAGAGGCCACCCGGAGAAAGGCCTCTGGTCATCCCAAAAGAGGAGCATGAGCATAGCGTAGAGAAAAGCGATTCGGATTATGAGTAAGCTATCTGTAGTCTTATCATCATCCTCATTTCAGCCATGTGACGTCCACTGCTGAACATAGACCTGCCCCAATGCTTTCGATGTTGCCCGGTTATTAGCGACCTTCCTGCTACCTTTATTTTTTTTTAATACATTTTTGCACAATTTGAAAGCGTTGTTCCGAAGTAATTGTTTGACTCAGTTATGCGCTAGCTAGACCCTTAGTTTTATTTTTCTATTGCACAATACAGATAGATTTCATTCAATGGGTAAAATCCCATTCATAAGAGTAGGCGCACACCGTTGATTTTTAGTTGACCGATAATTGTGCCCGATTTCAAATTGTATGAACAATCGGCCAAATCGAATCGGCGTAGTGTGCGCACTCCCATACATGCCCATACTGATCAACAGCCCGAATAAACTATCGGCCGACGAAAAATCAACGGTGTGCGCCTACTCTAAGAGTTTTTATAGCCTTGGAAAAATATAATTTAAATTGCCTCAGGTGGGAAATGAACCCATAATGCCGACCGCTTGGGTTAACCCGTCGAAATATTAATTAATTAATGAGTAATGAAGTATGTTGTTGACAGTATATTCGAGGGTATTAAACCAGAACTGGAAGTAGAAGATACCAACGTATTCGACGGGAGCCTGGAAGACCCATTCGCGTCCATTGGACCTCAGGTGAACAATCGATTACCCGCGCCCCGATTGCGCTAATTTGTAATCTCTCCAATTCGTTCGTGTTTCGTCTGCAGTCACGCTCCATTTTCATTCCAGCTGATGTACAATTCGGTATCGCGGTAAAGTTCACGCGTAAACAAAAAAGAAACAACGGAACTATGAACTTTTCATTAAAAGTCCGAACACCTTTTAAACTAAAACACAGAAAATATTCGTGAAGCGTTTGACTTGCGTGTGAGAAAACGTAACCTTCTGTCAGCTTTTACTCAAGGCGCCGTTGCGCTGCTATTACGTTACAGCTTCGTTTGAACTACATAGTTGTCACAACGACACCGCGATACGAATATGTCAAAACAGTTGATGTTCGTCAATCGTCATGGTCCAGTCGCGTTTCAGTTGAAAATATTTAGCGTAATCGGGGCGCCGCACCGGTCGAGTTAACTGCGCAACTGGCGGCCGTAACGTCACATCGACGCTCTGTACGGCTAGCACGAAAAACTTTCGAGTTCGAATTGTTTGCGTATTCGACAAAATTCGATATTCAACCTTCGAATTAAACGATAGCGTGACAATTTTAATTCTCAAAATAAGTTTCGTGCAACAATTTCTCATACTAAGTTCACTTTACAATACGTTCACAAGGGCGCTGTTGTAGTTTTCGTACTAAATCTTTTGATGGCGATTCGAATACGCAAACGATTCGAACTCGAAAGTTTTTCGTGCTAGCCGTACTGGTACGAACGGGGCGAACGCGGGAAGATAATTATTCGGGTGAGTGCGAGGGACTGGCATTCCAGGGAGGTGCACTTAACTTGACCGGGTTGTAGTAGGTTAGGTCAAAATGTCGAGTATTTAGTATTCTTCTGTATTTTCAAAGCTTTATAACACGGCCTTCTATTTTGAATGCTTTCTACGTTTTTAAACGGAGCCAAAGACAAATAAAAGATGGCGGTAAGAAAGTTTTTGAATGCCTCTTTAATAGGTAGTTTTGAGATGGAGATAGAGAAATGTTTTTTAAATACTCTTGTAGTTTACAAACTTAACCTCACAATAATAAAAGTTTATGGGTGTAATGTCAATATTTCGGGAATTTCAGTGAATTACCAAAAAAAAATAAGCTTACAGAAAGATTTCATCGTCGTCGTCGTCGTTTCAGCCGAAAGACGTCCACTGCTGGACAAAGGCCTCTCCTAAGGATTTCCACGAAGACGGTCCTGCGCCGCTCGCATCCAGGCACCTCCCGCGACCTTCACCAGATCGTCGCACTGTGGGCCCGGCAGAGGTCAAAAGTCAAAAAAATCAGTTGTCTATTAATCTTTTTTTATTTACGCAGATAGGTAATTAAAAACCTCTAGTTTTAGAAAATATTAAAGTACCAACATGTTTCTTAACAAATTGGTATACTTTTACGAGTCAGAAGTTATTGCTTGCAAGCCTAAGGACGGTTGCTGTCAGCGCGTCCTAAGTTTATTGCTTTGTTTACATAAAGTTTTGTTTATAAATTGTATTTAAAACTAGTGAATTTAACAATAGAAATCCTGGAAAAAGGTAATGTGTAACTTGTTGTCAAAATTTTAAAGTTATATGGCTAGTATTAACATGTCAAATATGATGAAAATAATTGATAATTTATTGAATATTTTTAGACTTTTAGTTTAGTTCCCCGTCGTGCCCCGTAACAATTTATACGTCATTTGTTAGCTGACAATACGCTTTATTATATTTTGTATGCAATTTCACCCAAGAGTACCAAAGGTCTTGACAGTAGGGGTCCAAAGTTGAACCATCGCCAGAGATAACCTTTCCTTCGCCCTGGCTTGAAAGCCGTCTGTTCACCGAGCCAGAACCTCCTGATGAGAGTCCTATAGACACGCAGGCACAACCAGCGTCAGAGATAACCTCCACTTCGCCCTGGTTGGAAAGCCGTTTGTTCATCAAGCCAGAACGGCTTAATGAGAATCCCATAGACACGCAGGCACAACCAGCGTCAGAGATAACCTTCCCTTCGCCCTGGCTGGAAAGCCGTCTGTTCATCAAGCCAGAACCTCCTGATGAGAATCCCATAGACACGCTGGCAGAACCATCGCCAGAGATAACCTTTCCTTCGGCCTCGCTCGAATGCCGTCTGTTGACCAAGCCAGAACCTCCTGATGAGAGTCCTATAGACACGCAGGCACAATCATTGCCATCAATAACCTTTCCTTCACCTTGGCTTGAAAGCCGTCTGTTCACCGAGCCGCTAGCGTCGCCAGCAGTCATCGAGAACTGGAGGCCTCCGCTTAAAAGGTTCAAATCATATAATTTTACTTGCTTAAAATATGGTGATACAATGTAATAGATTGTTATAATGTGGTTACCTTCACCATATCGAATTACATTTGATCGAAAATCAAAATATCGAATGATCAAATATCGAACGTTCAGAATATCGAATTTACAAATTATCGAACGATCAAAATATCGAAAACTCAATAAAATAACTCTGATTAATGTAAATAAAACATTTAAGTAGGCATTTTTTTATTTCTTACTAGGGTACCATAGTCAACAAGGAACCCTTACCTCCATCTTCCTAACTATGCCACATAAGATCTACTTTCGATATTTTAATCATTCGGTATTTTGATCGTTCGATCATTTGTAAATTCGATATTTTGATCGTTCGATGAAACGTGTTCGATATTTTTATTTTCGATCAAAAGGTAACCCGTTATAATGTGCTCCGCAGGTGCTCCTTTCGCACGTATGCAAAATGTTCAAAGACATCAGCGATTAAAGACCCGGGGAAAAAAATCTGAAGGTAACAAAATCCGTAATTTTTTATTTGAACGAGGATTCCAATATTTTTCTTTTAAATCTCGCATTACTTTAGTATGGAATGGGAAACTCAGTCACTATCTGCTGGTTTAAAAAAAATCCTTTATTTGCATGGACTATTAAGTGCTTACAAATCGTCAATAATATTGAAAATAAAAGACTAATTAAAAAACCAGTTTTGCCCTTATGGAGCCTTCACATGTCTCATAATCTCATCTCATCTTTTTGCCCTACCAGCGATTCGAGACCAACCATAAGACCATGGAGGTATCATAAGACCAACATTTGGCAAGTGCTGAGAACTTAGTAGGAAGTTACTATAGATTAGGGCGCAGGAAGCGCTAGCTGGGTGCAGGTCGTTCCCGAATAGCCAATATGCTCATTAAGGCTAATTTGATTCACATAAAATTTATTATTATTATGACCGTTGTTGTTACTAACTTGTAATATAAATAATTGCATTTCTATTGTTCCAGTCCCAATACCGAAGCTGGGTCTCCGTCCGCAGCAAGCGCTTTAATCAAATCAAATCAAAATATTTCTTTGCTTTTATGGGTTTTACATGTCATAAAAACTAAATATTATTATTAAAAATTATTTTAAATATCGAATGATTAATAAATAATGGTTTATTTAGAAAAATAATTTTTATTTCACACTTTTTAAAAACTAGGTAAGAAATGTGATTTGACAACTGCGCGCCGCACTATGGAGCGAAATTGAGATTTATGGACATAGCGATTTTTTTCACAATTTCTATTTGAAAAAAATACCTATCGATAGGTTACGTTATTCTGATGAATAAATGCTGCACAAGTTTTTCTCTAAAACCAATAGTTTGACTGGAAAAAAATATTTTCAAATCAAATCAAATCAAATCAAATAATCATTTATTGTGTTAGTTATAGGTAATACAATAACACAGATCTTAAATGTTTACAAACAACCGCTATAACCTGCCGATTGGGCGTACAATAG